CATTGGTATTCCAAATAACTCTGATACACGAGGGGGAGTATTACTTTATCCACGACCAAATAAAGGAGACTGAATGTAAGCAGGATTAGGATTATGAATTTGCAGTAGGATTTGATCCGAGAAGTAGAAAACGTTTGATGTGATGTCGAAATGTACTCACTCACATTAGGTTAGCAAGATCGGTTTTCAATCACTGCACCAGGGCAGAAAAAATTGAAGATTTTAGTTAATGTAGAATGTTAAGAAGGGAATAAAAAAACGCTGATAAATTCGTCGTGTAAATGAGACGTGAGTCGCTCTGTGCGGCTGTTGCGACTTGGTTTGGTCTCATCGGCAGTGCGAATCAATCGACCCAATTGGGGATTCGAACCGGGGACCTCACAGTTAGAACGCAAACATACTAACCACTCGGCCACCGAACAGCTCATCAGACCGTTTCTCATTTTGAATATATACAATACAATACAACCCATCTTTGTGAGCTTTTTACGGGCAACGGACCTCACTTCTCTCAGCACTAGCCTCCGGGGTTATGACTCGGCTGGAAACTTTCACAACTTCACTACTTGTAATATGAGAGGAATGGAAGATAAAATTTCATCGAGTGAATAATTCGTTATCATCATAAACTAATCAAATCAAATTCTCCAGTCCTCTCATATAACATCAAAATTTATCATGCATGCCATCATGCTATGGTAAGTGTAATAGCATGACTAGGAATATCCAACAACAACCGTTCTCTCAATGACTCTTTTTGTTAAAGTTAGTTTATCCTCGAGATTTATACAGTGTTCACTGGTAGAATGGCTTCTGAGCATATTCTGCCAACTGCCTTTATGGAAGTTGGTTCATATCCTGTTCAGTTGGGTCATGGAAGCTGAGCGGGGTTATTGAGGGAAAATACAAGTGGATAAAAATAGAAACAAGTGATTCGTGGGGAGGGGTAAAAATTTGTCTGGACTGTCAAATTTAAGATGGTAGACTCCTTAGTGTTCAGATAGAGTTTTTAGCCGTGAGGTGGACGTCAAAGATTGTTTCTCTTAGGCATTTTGATACAGTTTACACTGGATTTCTGTGACTCGAGCGAGCAGAGCCAAAACAGGAAGTGAAAACTACACATGCAGTTAACAAGCTCGTAGTTAAACTCGGAGAAAAGCCGAAACTGGTACAGTTTGACTGTGAAGGAACTGGAGTCAGATTGAGTAGAATAGGGCTGGTGCAATCGAACACCGTGAGCCTACTGTAATAGATGTGGGACAGAAGTGACAGGAATATCACCAATTTATGCGGGATGTAAGATTGTAAACAGAAGAAGAGTCCTCTGAAGCAATCCGGAGTTGTTCACTGAAGGTTTTGGTAAAATATTACAAAATCAACTGATTCTTGATTTTCACAAAAGACCCATAGATAACCAAGCTACTTATAAGGTATATTAAAAGATTCCAACTTTCGAAGGATTGTGGATGTAAAAAAAGAGTTAAGTGTCCGAGAATAACAATACAGCAACGGTAATTATGCTCCGTACTCCTTCATTGTTTTGCACATAACGTAGCTCGCATTCAATCATTTATTTGAGACAGAAAACTGGGACAGTTCGATGATCGGGCAGTTGAGACCGGCTTTCGACAAATGGGAATATGCCAATTGTGAAGTGATGCATTTACACTCGAGACCTCTCTCACTTTAATACGATGACGTGTAAAATGTCGTTCTAGTATCTGGAAAGCATTCTAGTGAGTATAACGTCAAAATGGAAAAATAGGCTACTGTTCTTTTCTCTTCAAAGAGAAAAATTAATTTTGACAGAATAAAATACTAGTTCTCAAACTTGGGCGAATATTTTATTGAAAAACAAATTTGTGCCCAAAACCCTGAATTCATGTAGCATGCGGTAACACGGATTATTTTTCTCGAATATTTTTTCTTTATTCAATTTGAGGAATTTGAAAGAAAAACATCGTTGTTGAATAATAAATTGTACAATATGTGAGGAGTTTCATACCTATACACAGAGAACCAGCCGCATTTGTTATTATTCGGTCAGAGTACCAGCCAGAGATGTAGATTTCCCATATATCTCTTATTTTACCAAACATGCATTGGAGATCATAGCAACATATACCTAAAACCAAGTGCAAATTTGTTTTTTTTAAAATTTATTTTCAAGTTAACATAACAATCACGTGATAACCAAAAGATAATTTTTGATCATAAAACTGTTTACCTTTACAAATTCTCTCGGATTGAAATTCTCAAATGTGTTTGACTCAGAATTTTTCCCTGAGGATGTCGTCACCAATCGTTTCTTTTTGTTTTTTTGCTCGATATTCATTGCAGAGTGTCTTCTTATTTCTTCACCACACAGAATAGCTTTTCTCTCACTCATGCTTGCGATATTGGATAGGGACAGTTGGACGGCAGTAATGAAATATCATTTGTCCAATAAATATCGTTCTCTTCGTTTCTATTGGTCCGTGTGTAAACACTGTGACCATAATAATAACGCGGTGTATTGTCTGGTTTAGTACGCATAAGAAAAATCAAAACAAGACAAGACAAAATCGCCTCATTTTTATGTACGGATTACTCATTGTGGGAGTGCAACATTTCATCGAGACCACCTATGGGTCTGAGTGTTGGAATCGAGTGGTTGAACGTGCGGGGCTCGGGGCGGCGGTCACCTATCAGACACAAAAAGTCTATTCGGAAACAATCATCGAGCGTATTCTGGAAGCGTTGAGCGAGGAAATCGGCGAGACTGTGGATGAGTTGAGCTATCAGAGCGGCCTGTATTTCGCCGCGTTTACCACACATTCAGGTTATGAGAAATTGCTGCGTGTTCAGGGTCGAGATTTTATACATTTTTTGCAAAATTTGGACAATCTGCACGAACATTTGCGTTTTTCCTATCCGAAAATTCGACCACCGTCGTTTTTTGTGAAATCCAACTCGTCCGCCCGAATCGAGTTGGTCTACTCATCGAAACGTTTGGGCTATGTGCACTATGTACGCGGACAGTTGGTGAATTTGGCCAAACAATTTTTCGACTTGGACATACATGTACGACTGCTCGGGCAAGAGAGAGAAGGTTTGGTCAACCACGTCACCTATGAGATCACACATGAGGGAAAGAGTTGGGGCAGTCTGGAGGCGGATTATGAGGAGCAGGGACTTCCCGAGTGGGGAAACACGGTACGAGCGGACGAGTTTTTCACTCTTTTCTCATTCTATCTGGTTCTGACCCGAGATCTTCAGTTGAAAAAGGTCAGCCAGTCGTTTCGCAATTTGGATCCAGAAATTGAAGGAGCAAATTTATCCGACAAATTTCTCATCGCTCGACCCTACATCAGTGTGACTTTTGATGCGGTAAGCTCATTTTGGGGGTTGGGTTGAGTCGGATTGGATTGGGTGGGATGGAATGGGATGGGATGGGACGAAATCCTAAATTTGTTTTGGATACGTTATCCCATACATGGATTATTGAACTGTAACAGACAACAAATTAGAATCGATTGACCGTTGTTTTTGTAAACGTTGATAGTAATAACGAGAAACAACTTTGAGAAGTAAAAATGACTGTCTCCGTGCTCCGAAGAAATGAATTGAGACACTCAACTACGACATAAAGGAATCCTTTCATGGATGAAACTATACACTTCATTGAACTACTGATTATGCGCCCTTAAGAACAGTTCATTTGCAATTCCAAGTGTACGACTCGATTTACGAGGACACCAAGAGGGTGCACATGAGTAAGTGTACTTGAAAGATTTATCAGGCGTGCACTGATGTTAAGTAATACTGCTGATTCCGTTGTGGGACGAAGTACACTTCTCTCTCTCCATTCTGAGTCATTGTAAAAATCTATACGTTAAATAGTTATTGTTTGTAAACAACTCCATTCTACTGACAGATGCGCATTTCTATGCGGCAACACATAGCGCATGATTCTTGCAACAAATTTCCAAACCTTGAATCGGTCCAAATACAATGAATTTACTTCCAAACGGAGTTTTCTTCGTGCAGCTGCATTTCATTCCTTACCTATCTAAACCGATGATTCTGCGTTTGATGTCATTTTCTCCATATTCCTGATAGAAGATCATTTTGGAGGTACTAATAGAATAATAGCTAACTGAAAAGTTTTCCAACCTTACCACCAAAGGGACAGTAATTTTTCTGGAAATTTAATTTGCGCACCATGTACAACATTGAAATGAAACACTTGTTAATCGAATTCACCACTTAGGAGAAATAGAATAGAAAGCACTATCTCACTGTTCCAATACTGTTGGTCCATTAGAAAAGTGTGCATTTCGCTGAAGGAGAAAACCATCACCTGAAGAGTCAATGTGCAAGTGGCGGTGTGTGCGTTTGTGTGTGTGTGAAGGGCCATCAGCTCATTGCCTCACAGTTTGAGAGGCAGGTCGAGCTCAACCCGTATAAGCCACAAGATGATTGTCAACATTCTCGACCTTTTTCTCTGAAAATGATTTTATACATTTACACGAACCGTGGGTAAAAGAGATCAATACGGAATGTTAAAACTACTAGAATAATAGGCGGGTTGGTTGAATCACCGGTACGTTGGTTTCTGGGTTCCCGGTGCACGCAGTCTTTACTCTAAATACGAGGTTTACTAAACTTTTCCATCAAATTGGAACATTTCGACTGATCTGTTACGGTTTTAGGGGGTATAGAATTATAAAACCGGTTCGGAAGAACGCGAAAGTGACCGTTTCCGATGAAATGTGTATGATATTACTGGACATTACTGATGGAAATACCAAACAATAACTCCGGGGCGGTGCGAAGGTGCTCCAAATTGCGTCTCACTACCGACGCACATCGTACAAAGACATCATTCTCTTAGCGAATTACGGATCCGATCAGATGTGTGAAATTTTTCATGTTTTTATTGTTTGTCAAAAATCACTATTTGGGATTTGTATGTCTCGACTTATTGTTTGTGGATTCTTCGAGTTGAAAGCCTCTTTTTTAAGCTGATCGCATCCAATTACGGCACCGCGGTCCCGAAAACGGACTCGGTGATATGCGTAGTGCATACAAACGTGGTTCACTCTAAGCGCGCAAGCTATATTTCTCTACAAGTTTCGTACCCAGTAAGAGTGTTCGTGTAATTCCGCATCTCTTCAGAAGGCTGTATCGAAATTCTCTGGTTTGGAAATGGGTCTGATTTGAAAAATAACGCAAATGCGACCGGTTTTGGTCGTGACCGGTGAGGTTTACCTTTTTTTTCTACTGAATTGGATCCTAATTCGGCCGTGTTCGGAATCGATTTTCCACTTCCAACATGGATAGTATCTTGTTCAAAATGGGATAAACTAATTATCACATTAACAAAACACACAAGAATTTTTTGCTTACTCCGAGTGATTCATATTAGGTGACGGAATCATTTTGGGTGGGTGTGTTGTGTGTGTGTGTGTGTAGCTGAGACTCCTCTGGTATGTCCTGAGCCGTCAGATCCCTTCCACTAATCAACAGTAGCCAGTATCATGAGCAAGAGTTCTTTTGGCATTGAGAGTAACTGAAAAAATCTAAAACTGGGCGTGTTGTTCCCCTCGACGCAAAACAAAGTTTAAAAACAAACTTAACTACATCCCAAGTCAGAAGTATCGGTCACCTACTCGCCCCTTTCTTAGCATTTTCACACACCCGTATAAGGAATCATTCACAATGCAACCAAATCAACCAAACGATAAGTGAGAATATGAAATTTTATCAAATTGTCTTTTGTTTATGATGGGAATATTGAAATGTCACACAAATTCACCACGTCTAACGCACTGCCTACCCATGGACTTTGCCCATCGGAACAAATATGACTGAGTGCATTAGCTATTCTGTCCTACAGACATTACCCGCCTAAACATTCTGAATAGATTGGGTTGGACGTGTAGTTTGGGTCATCGCGAGTGTGGAACTCGCCAGCATTGCCCACGTTTTCCACTTCGGTACGTCCACGGTCAGACTGTAGTTGGCAGTCTCCAAGTCGTGAAAATCGTCTATTCCGGTGCACACATATTGGATATTGAATATATTGATTAACATATTGAACAAATAAATTGTATTGTGTATTGTATATAACTTTGGCAAGCACTGGAGCTCACATTTCACTCAAAAAATCATACACGCCAACCGTCACACTGTACACAATCAACTGAGAAAATGTTTTACAGACATGGGGACATTTCATAATCCAAGGTTAAGACAAAGGTCACTTATTGTCCGTACGGTATGGGTGAATTGTGGTATGCATTAATTCGAGATGAAGTTTGGCGGAATCGGCAGCGTGTTGAATGATGGGAACGAAAACGTGTCAGTTCTGCATGCAATGGGTGGTCAGGATCTGTGAGAATCCTCTCCACAAATTTCACACAGAAAGTTATGTGATTCTCTGAAAGCTTTACAGCTAACTCATTCACAGGATTAGAAGAGACACGACTAATAATGGTTAGACCACGACGTAAGAATTTGAAATCCTGTTTGAATAAGCGCGGAACAGTAGAGTAACAGGGGGAAAATACATTGATAAACCAAAGTAGACATAACTGACTGAGATGCACGAAACTGCCCGAGGTTTTGTATTTCAAATGATAGGCGTCACAGTTTACCAATGCAGCTGTGGATGTTGGTTGACCAATGAAGATGGATGGCTATCAATGAATGTACGAAGATATTTGACGGAGTTCACCCTGAATCAGGGATTGTTATTAATCATTGTGGGATCTGTCGGATCTGAGGAGGGAGCAAACGTATATAGACAGTGAGCACATTTACTGCTGGGGTTTAGAGTTAGCCCCGATGAGGAGGTGAATGACTGAATTTGATCAAGATTGTCTGTGATGGGTTAGCACAATCCGACGTCATTTGCGTATTTCAAAATTTGTGGGATGAAAAACATGGAATATGACAAATATGAGTGGAAATAAATATACGGATAGTGAAACGGAAGCAGAAGTTTGTTATTTTTTTACATTATTATGATATTGTTGAACAATGTCTTGGTTTGCACTTTTCCACTCAGAAGTGCTGTAATTTGTATTTTCCTGTAGTTTGGTGCGTCATGCGGGCAGAAATGAATCAAATGTTGTTGTTTGTGTATTTTGATGTCTCGGATGCATGCCCCTCACAGCATTTTGATGCTGCAATGAGAAAATGAGCGGATAGCATATAAAATTTATCTATCTTTGAATAATCACGTTGAAAAATGTCTCTTATATGACCGTTTTGTGTCATTACCAACAGAAGTTAGTGCTCCGCCGTACATATGTTTGTATCAAAATCTCACACTAAATTCCTCAAAGTGAGTTCGATTGATCCACCAATAGAAAAGTTGTTCCATACCATCACGAAATTTTTCCGCTGATCAAAAGCCGATCCTGCTAGTAACGATTCCGAANCGAAACTCGGCCCTGTCTAAGTTGAACTTCTCAACGTCGCTAAACTAGACCATTCCATTCCATTGTGAGAGTCCAATCGTCCGGCGGAATCATCGTTTCACGTATCATGAAAGAGGAATTCGAGTGATTCTGAAACCTCGTGAAAAGTCACAACCAGGTCGAAACAGCTGCCCAGTGATTCCCGGTCTTTCAGCTCACGTCTCATTTACAAGCTAAATTCATCACCAATTTGTTTGATATCAATAAAGTCCTCTTCCAATACACCAAAGGTGACGACACCACTATTCCCCATGACCCTCTTCAGTTTACATATAAACCAATCAGATCTACATTGGACGCCGTATCCACTCTAGTGCATTTTGTTTGCAAGTCATTGAACCATTCGGTCAAGTCTGTCCGTTGTGTTTTTCTTGACTGTTCGTCTGCGTTTGATTCTGTTTCCCGATCCTCCCTTCTTTTCAAACTTGAATCTTTTGGCACTTCAGAACAGCTGCTCTCATGGCTTGCCGACTATTTTACACAGAGGGTCCAGTGCACCAACTCAGGAAGGAAGGCATCAAAACCTCTTGTTAATAATTCTGGTATTCTTCAAGGTGCTGTTCTATCTTCATATCTTTTTTCTGCCTTTATTAGTGATCTTTCGGTCCCACTCCCTGCGCACATCCAAAAGTATGCTGATGATGTAGTTTTGTCTCAGACAAATTCATCTCCCTTGGACTCT